TGTCTAAAGACTAATCTCTATTTGCTTTGTTTCACAGCAAAATTTCTCAAAAGGGACATTTCCAATTCTCGAAAGAGAATTCTCAACTTCCTCCCTTCTTCCCCCTTTACCAGCCTGCCCAGTCTAGCCTCAGTAGCCATCCTTCCCCTGGAATTTTTCTAGTCAAGGTCACCAGTAATCTTGGTGCCAGTTACAGTCACATCTTTGTTCTTATATTCCTTAACATTTGGCCACATCCACTAGGACTGGCCATTTCTCCTTTCTGAAGCATTTTTCATGTCTTAGTGGCCTCTACCGATTCTTCCTCCATATCCTGAGGTTCTTGTGTTTCAGGACAAGTCCTGGCCTCCCTTTTCAGCTTCTGAGGTGAACTAATTCCCAAGCCATCTGGGTTGATGACTCCTAAATTCATATCCATCCCTGAGTGAGTTCTTGAACTCTAGAGTCATTCATTCAACTTCCTACTGGACGCCTCTGCTTGGGTATATCATACTTAATGAGTTCAAAATGGTTCTCTTGATTTGCACTGCCTCCAAAAAAAACGAAACAAAAAAATCCCAACTTTTCTTACCCTATCTTCCTCTATTTTCCCATGAACTCTGTTACTTAAACCAGAACCTTAAGAATGACATTGATTGTTCCCTATCCTTCATTTCCATCTGTATCTTGATGCTTCTGTTTCCCAAATGTACTCAGCATCCATCCATTGTTATCCACATTTCAACCATTACTCCATCCCTTGTCACTGATGTCCTTCCTTGGGGCTCTGGCTGTAGCCTACTCATTGACTTCCTGCTCCATTCCTGCTTCACTCCTGTTCATCTTCCTGTTAAATGCCAGAAAGGATAGCATCACCTTATATCTCCTTAAATTATTGTGATCGTTTATCTCTTTATGTTGTTGTCTGTTTCTTCCTCTAAAACATCAGCTCCATGAGGGCAAGGCAGGTCTGCTTTATTCCTAATTTCTGTCACATTGAAACTTCCCCACTAAATACATCTAGAGTAAGCAGAAGAGTGAATAAATGCATAATTTTAGATATTAGATCATATTTGTAATTTGACTAATCAGAAAAACTTCCTGAGATTAGCTACTTCCCAGACTAGTGGGACAGGGTAAGAGGATCTTCTGTATTTCAATAACTCCTAAAACAACAAGAAAACCAGGTGTTGGGGAACACAAATTAGAACACAGTTTGCAAACTCAAATGCCTTGGGTAGGTAACAAAAATACGGAGTTACCATGTGTAAACCACAGTGAGTGGTTGGGACCATCACAGTCTGGAGACCCAGCTCCAGCTAATGCAGAGTTACCAGCTTTAGACACTGGCCATGTGATATTGACGGACCAAGGGGGATATTTTTTCCAATTCTTCAAAAGAAGTTGAAAGTTTGCACACCAATTAAAGACAGGCTTAGCAATGAATAATGACTTAAACCGCAGTTTAAATTAAATAAATGTGTATCTCTGCCACAAAAGATAGAGGGTGTATAGTTCAGGGCTCAGGGAGGCTCCATGGAATCAGGAACCCAGGCTTCTTCTGACTTGTTTCTCAGTTAAGCATGGATTTCATTCCCAAGGCCAATGGACAGATGTAGCTTTAGCTATTACCTCTTTATTCCAGGAAGCAGGAAGGAAAGAGGGAGAAAGGCCTGACTTATATAAAGAGACTTCCTGGGAGCTTCTGTGCCTCACTTCTATCATTTCATTAGCCAGAACTTAATCATGTAGCTACTCCTAGCTGAAAAGGAGGCTGTTGAGTGTAATCTTTACTCTAAATGGACATGTGCCTAGCTAAAGAAGAAGGGTAGAATGTGTACTGGCATTCTAAATGAGGTGTCTCTGCCAGAGCTGGCTATTTATGTGAAACCCATGTTTTAACATCATTATGGTAAACAGAGCATGTCTGTCACCTCATTTCAGCTGAAGAGTCAGCAGTGGTGGAAACCCTGTTTAGAGGAGCAAATATGGATGGGAGGTATTTCTGTGATATTGGGGTGGGGGGTGTTGCAGCCAGCAACTGGAGCTTAGGCAAGGAATGCAAACAGAGCTGTATTCTGCCTGGAGGGTGGGAGCTCTGTAAAGGTGGGCAGCTGGGGAAGGTGAGGACGTACAGTCCTCCACTGTGCATCCTCGGAGTGCACAGGGCACTGGTTATAGCAACCCTGGAGGCCTCTGCTTCCCTTCTCTTCTCTTCAGGTCTAGGCAGTTATTCCAAGGGTACAATCTCCATCTCCTCTGAATTATGATGCTGCTTTCTGCTTTCTTACCTTAACTGATGGAACTTTCTCATATCAGGTCAGGGGCACCCTCACTGGAGGGATAAGTGAGCCTGGGCCAGATCCAAACTCCCCAGCTCTCTCCAACTACCCATTGACCTCATGGGTTTGGACTTGGCCCAGTTTCAGATTCATTGACAATTCCCTCTGAATGGCTGAATCTGCCAGTCATGCTGGACTTTCTTGCTGTGGTCAACACCAGGCTATCGTGGGAAAGTCACTGATTTTGCTGGCCAACTTCCCTGTCTTGCATCCCAGCCCATCACTTCCTGGCTGAGTGCACTATAAATACATCTGAAAGTGTAAATTAGGGCACAGCATTCTCCTTCCCTGCTTTTCAAGGTTGTTGGGAAGATTCACAGGAATCACTTATGTAAAAAGCCATTTTTAAAAATGTTATACATACAAATTTAAGGTTCCAGTAAACATTCTCTGTAGCCACCCATATATATTTGAAGTTAATGACTTTATTGACACAAACTTTGCAATGGAGGAGTTAGTCCAATAGATTGTAAGAATCAGTTTCTGTCTTAAACGTACATGAAAAAATTTGCAGATGAAATTTTCAGTGACATGGCTTAACTTAGAGTACTACCTTAGTGAAATCTAGATGGTTCTAGGGAGAGCCAGATCACAAGCCCTCCATTCCCTTCTCCCTGCAAAGTGAAAAAGTATTTCTATATAAGCAGAAACACCTCAAATTGAACATTTTCAAAACACATGCAGCAGTGAACTGAAGCAAACACAGAGTTTTAAAGAGAAGCTGGGCTTAGCCTGTGGCTGACAGCTCATTGACTGATGAGGCCACACCTGCTCAAAACACAACACGCATGCCCTGGGGAGAACAAGCCCTTGAACTCGCAGGATCGCTGCCAAGCTTGCAGCTGGGGGGGCTCCTGCTGACAGATGCCACTGGGGACATATGAGTCACAAGTTTTGCTTTTAATTTTATTTTTAAAAATTTCAGAACGTGAAGTTCCCTAAAAGCCCTTTAACAATGAATCAAAATGATAGAGGTTTAGGAAAAGTGCTTTTGAGCATGGTGAAGGTTGGTACTGTGTTCAGAACACCTAGATCAGCAGTTTCACACAAACCTAGTCTCAGATAGAAGTGGATCCCACTGCAGAGTGATTCACCACACACACTATACCTTATGGTCTAAGTCAGTCTCCTGATTACCAAGTTCACGTTAGATTCAGGATGTAGTTGTGACTGACCAGACTCCAAACCCCTCAACCTCTGTACAGTGGCTGGCACAGGGTTGGTATTAAATATTTCATGAGTAAATATGCAGTCTACCATGAAAGAAAGAAAGAATGAATAACACTACCTACTTGTGTTTGAGGAATAATAATTAGTAGATAAAAGGTTGAGTATCTGAGTAGCCTGTTTAGGTTAGTTCTCTGGATTATGTTATATAAACACATACCAGCAGGCTGCCTATTTCTGCTCAACATGGAGTTTATTGGTACTGTTTGATACAACTTTAACCTTACCTCTTCCAATCTCAGTCATATTAACAATCCTTTAAAAACCATGCTACTTGCGCTGGGATGTAGCTCGGTGGTACAGCACAAAAAAGAAAAGCCAAAAAAAAAAAAAAAATGCTACTTTACTTTGGAGGAAAATATGCCCAGATGAACATGTGTTTTAAAAATGCTAGAAAATAATTCTTATCAAAACATGATTTGACCGTTCAACTACGTGTTTTCCAACAGAGTGCATGACAGTGTGCTGTCAATGTAAAGCCACATCACCAGGTACTGGCTTTCTTAAATAATTAAGTTGCAGATGCCAGAATAATACAGTCCTGGGGATGTGTACTGAGAGGCTGACGGGAAGCTGTGTGTAGCCACATGTGTTCCTGAATCACCTCCCTCTTGTCTGATTACAGTTACAAATGACCCAAATGGAGAGAGAAAACCCAGCAGAAGACAAGCAAAGGGAACTGGACAGTTATAAACAAAAGCAATGTCTGGCTCAGCCCTGTAGGGCATCCTGGGTTGGATGCATTGGCCACAAGGATCATGACATGATGATTTGGAGAATGACGTATGGACGCCAGCATGGGAGGAACAGTTGTCACTGCGTCACGGAGACCTCCCAAAGACTCCCCCCAGGCACTGTTGGAGTCAGCACATGTGAAATTGGATCTAAGCTATCTCATACTGAGCTAAGGAGACAAGAATAACAGAGTTTTCCTGTTTCTTCGGTTCTTATATGTCTGGGGTTAGAGTGCATGAAAGCCAGCTTTTAGGTGAAAACAGTAAGTTTTGTGGTGGCAGAATTTAAAAAGAAAGAAAGAATGAATGAATGAGCTCACCTGAAGCCATATACTGTCAAGTCAGGAGAGCTAACACTGATCTGTGAATTTTTCTTGTAACAAATCCACTTCTGCTTTATAAACCAACCTGTAGCTTTGGCTCACCATGTCTGTGGCAGGCCCTATTACAGGAGCTGCAAAGAGGCAAACACAACTGCACCTGGGAAGTCAATTAACACATTCAAGGACCGTTCAATATGTTCATGGTATGCAATAAACCGGAGGCTGAGAAGGTCCCAACAGCTCAGGCCAGCTGTTTGCTGCCAGGCCAAACCATCTCTCAAGGCGCTCAGCAGCATCCACGTTCAGCAAGTGGACACTTCTTCAAGGTTTCTTGATGGGACCAGCACTATATAGACCACAAGGAAGTCCATCTGCTCTTAGATTTGGACACTCTGCTAGTTGATGCAGTTCTTTGTGATTCTTTTACTTCTGTCCATCTGTCGGATGCTCTCTGTAACATTAATGGTGACTTCTTTTGCAGACATTCGTTTAGCATCTCTTTTAGCCTGTTGAAAAGTTCAAAATAGTGAATTGAGTCACTGGGAAATACCTCAGAGTCCTCACATTTGCCCTAATTTCTTGAGATTATGATAAACATACAGGTCTATAAGAACATGTACACATAAACTCCCCTTCAGAGTTTTATATTTTGTTAAATTTATTTTAACTGGTACACTAAAAATGAAAATTGTGCATCTTAACTAGGTAACAAAAGATGCCTGGATACACCTATACATTGTTATTTTCAAAAGTTTCTCTGTTGAACCTTGGATACCAGTCTAACAAAGAGCCTGGCTTCAGATATACTCAGTAAAAGGTTGAATGAATGAATTCACTAAGGTCCATCAAATGGTAATGTGAACCAAAGGCTGGTGGCTCACGCCTATAATCCTAGCTACTCAGGAGGCAGAGATCAGGAGGACTTGCGGTTTGTAGCCAGCCTTGGGCAATTAATTACACAAGACCCTCTCTCGAAAAAACCCAGCACAAAAAATGAATGGTGGAGTGGCCCAAGGTGTAGGCCCTGAGTTCAAGCCCCAATATTGCAGAAAAAAAAAAAAACATTTAAAAAAAATTGGCTATATAATTTTGTAATGGGCAAGTTTTTTCTAACCTCACTAATTCTGAATCCTCATCTGTAAAATGGGAACTAATATTATCCACTTCATCAAGTTTTTATAAGGATTAAGTGAGGTAATTCATGGAAGATACTTAGCACAATGCCTCTTACTAAATAAAAATGAGAAATCTTAAAAAGTAGGTTGTCTACCTTGAGGAAGACAGACCAATGCTGGCAGCATTACAATACCCAAATTCAAAATATACTACAGAGCCGTAACAATAGAAACAGCATGGTATTGGCACAAAATCAGACAGGAAGACCAATGGATCAGAATAGAAGATCCATACATAAATCCATGCATCTGTAGCCAACTGATCTTCGACAAAGGAGCCCAAAACACATGATGGAGAAAAGACAGTCTCTTCAACAAATGCTGCTGGGAAAACTGGATATCCACATGTAGAAGAATGAAACTAGATCCCTGTCTTTTACCCTGTACCAAAAGCAACTCAAAGTGGATCAAAGACCTTAATATAAGGCCTGAAACTTTCAAACAATTCCAGGAAATAGTAGGAAATACACTGGAACAGATAAGTATAGGGAACGACTTCCTAAGTAGAGCTCAAAAGGCTCAACATCTAAGAGAAAGAATGAACAGAATTAATTTTAAATATTAAAGCATTGAATAAACTGTAGAGTTTTCAAAAATATGTGCCTATCACCCACTTCTTGCAAACTGAAAACAGCCTTTTTCTTGTGGGATTTAAGCTTGTCTTTTCTGCTCTACCCTAGGAGGAGCAACCATCTTAGCTAATATAGGTTTCAAGTTACCAGGACCTTAAGACTCATTTCTTTGTCAAGTTGCCCCTTTTCCCACATCCTGTTTGTCCAAGGACTGTCCAATGCATGACTCTGGTCACATCTGAAAGTTGCTATACAAGTAAATTACCAGTAATCTCCCACCCAGAGTTCCCAAAATCTTAAGTTTTACATCAAACCTTACCCTACCCTGAATAGCAGCCAACCATGAAGAGTTGTGAACCCAAGCATGGGGTTATTCTCGTGCAAGGTAGTGTAGTGTCAGGGATAAAACCTGAGCAGACTTCTGCTCAGTGTGCTTACTAACTAGACTTCTTGTCAGTTGGACACCTTTCTGCAGAAGTAAAACTGTCTGCTTTGCTGAATGACTCTTGAGTGTTATTTCAGTTGCAGTTTGAGAATCCTGATATCCCAGACTTAATTCCCAACAATCTGGAGATGAGTGTGTCGTGGTGGTGGGGGGGTTGACCTTTCCACTCAATGATGGTGTGTTTGGAGTAAGTATGAGGTGACTTTACTAATTGCCTCCACCAGTGGATGGACACAGGAATGTGCCACCCAAGCCCCATGCCAGGAAGGACCTGCTGCCCAGGTGCAGGGGCACAGTCAGAAGATAACTTCTAGTAATCCATTCCTGCAAGGGTGGCCTCAGCTTCAGAAAAGTATGGGTCCTTCCACAGGTAGCCCACTGTGGGGAGGTAAAGGAAGGGATATAAACACCTGACCATTTTGGTCCAATGCAGCCAAATAAATCTGGCAACTCATTCAGCTCCAAAGCTCCCCATGGGTGGGGGTCACTGAGGATGTCATTTGCCTACACAGAGTCTCAGTTTCTCTCTTTACCTGTGTCTGCATTCATCTTTTCTTTCCACAGGTGTTGACCCTATAAGTACTTCCTAACGAACACCCTGGATAATGACATGTCATATGTGCTTCATGGAAAACATAGTCTTAGATCCCGTGGGATCAGCTCTCACAGTGCCAAGTATCTCCTCATGCTTGGCCTGTTTTTTGGACAACACGGCTCCTGAACTCAAGCCAATCATATGATCTGTAGTGCGTCCAAAGAAATGGTGACTGTTGCAGTGCTGGACAAAATGAGCTGCTCTGCTGAGTTTATTAACACGTGGTAGGCATGTTCCTAGTTTGTCAAGTGAAACCTGTGTACTTCCTGTAGCTGCTGTCCCCCTCCACTTACTCATGTAGGACATCCTTCCTCCAGCTGCGGAGTCCTGGCTACTAACTACTCACAGCAACGCCCTTCTTTTGAGAATTGTCCTCATCTGATTGGAGCCAGATGAGGCTACCCCAGAAATACCAAGGAGATTGTAACCTAATTCCTGCAGAGGGCCCATAGCCAGGGCCTGATTGTGAGGGCTACAAAGCCTGGCCTTCTTGCCTCAGAGTCAATCAACCATGCCCCTCTTGCTCCATCGCTCCCTGTAGGATACACCAAGGCTGCTCTAGGACTGCTCCAGTGAGCTTATGCATTTGCTAAATGAGATCCTCTGACTGGAGCTACTTTCCCAGTACCACACAGGCATCAATAATTCCTTGACCAAGAATCACCATTTTAGGCTCTACTTCCGGGGAGCCAGCCCTCAGATAATACTGTATGGTTGATTTGGAGGGTGTTCAAGGACAACTTCAAGTCGGTCATTTTAGCCTTTATCCATTGATTTCAAAAGATAGGACTTCATTGTTTTCCTGTTAACATTCTGGTGTCCTTGTCAATGTACCCTCGCTTTAACAACCAGTGGTCAACGCTGTTTAGGGTTTTCTCTTTTCTGTACTGGGGATTGAACCCAGGGCCTTGTGTTTGCTGGGCAAATGCTCTACCACTGAGTCACCTCCCAAACCCTTTTTAAAAGTTTTGAGGCAGGATCTTGCTAAGTGGCCCTGAACTCACCAGGTAACCCAGGCAAGCTTTGACTTGTATTAACCTGAGTTTCAGTACCTTACCTGAGAAACAGAAATCATACGTGCTTCTTAGATATTTTTGAGAGAATTGAGTATGTCATTTAGCACTGGTAAGGTGACCAATTTCAGGACTGACCCATTTTAAAACTAAAAGTGCCACATTCCACAAATCTTTTCAGTCCCTAGCAACCTGTATCATTAGTCACCCAATGGTAGTCATTGTCATCACTTTCATCTGAAAAATCATGTGGAACATACCAAATGGACATCAAAAACTTTACTCTGCTGAAACTGACAACTATGACTGCTACTTCGAAAGAGCAATAACAACAATTCTAAAAGATGGGCTTTGGGCTAAAAAGTCCAAATAATCACAGAGAATTCCCAGCAGCACACAAGTCCACTTTCAAATAATTATCATATTAAACAACTAGAACAACCATGGAATTTGTTGGAAACATTTTAAAAAGAGAAACTTTGAAGTCTAGAGACATCACCGGAAAGGTGTCCACTCCTTTTATAGCTGTGGGGACACGAGAAAGTAGGTAGTCACTGAAACCTAGTTCCAACTTAGAAGTCTTCAATTCTAAGCCAAATAAGAGGCAGAAAAATATAAGGAATAAAACTACACTTCCAGGTATTTTCTCTAGAAGTTCCAAGAAGTAAGTTGCTTTTCTCCCTGGAAAAAAAAAGCTAGATAGATACAAAGAACAGTTACAACCTTTTGTACATCAGGACACATTAAACAACACAGATACATACCCTTCTGAAGTGGTTTTCAGCCAGCCAGCCATTTCTGTTCAACATTCCTCCCCCCTTTTTAATGACAGGAAAAGAAAATGTGTCCCTATTGCAATTAGTGGCTTTAAAAAAAAATCTTAAGGTTCTTAATTTGATAATGAGACAATCCTATTTGGCACCTTTTCCTTTTGGAGCTGTCTGCTAATTCAATCTAATTTAATCTTTCCCCCACTTCCAGTGTTCTTGTTCTGTGAGCTCTGTCACCGTTAGACTCTTGCTAATGGGCCACCTCTTACTTCTCACCTTGTTTGACAGCTTTTCTATTCTTCTCTTGCCTCATTTTAATTTCTGCGGGTTGAGTGCCCTGTGACTCAGACTTGAGTCCCCTTGTTACTGCCTCTTTAATTAAAAGTCTTTCCTGGCTGCCATTTCTCAAAGGTAACCAGATTGACTGATAATTTCTTGGCAGCCTCCAACCCAGATGGACTTGTTTCTCTTGGGGTTCAGAAGTCAGTGATCTGGCTCATTCCCCATGGAGGAGGGGACAGCCTGGCTGCTCTGTAAAGACCTGGGCTCAAGACTACAGTGAAATTTGCTCAGTCATTTCTGAGTTTTGACCCAAATGGAAACAGAGATAGTCTCCACTTTGCTTGGACTCAACAAATACGTCTGAATCTAACATGGGATTGTGTAAACCTTTTCACGGTTCTTTGCAAACACCCAAGAAAAGCAAGGCTTACTGAGATTATGACTTATCAGACACCAATTCTTCTGAATTATTAGCATTTTTAATTAAAAAGCAATACATGATTATGGTTAAAAAAATTAAGCAGAAAGGACCCAGTAAGAAGTAACACTCTGACCGCCCCAAGGCCTTCTCCAGAAATAATCATGGCTGAAAACTTTCTATGGGATGTTGCAGGGATTTTCTAAGCATATACCATCATGAGACAATGTCTCTCT